TACCCGAGTCCACCACTGCCTGGATGAGATGACAGCAGCAGCCACTCAACTGTAACATTTCCTGTGGAGTTGATGACTTCCTTTTTGTTTTTGTTTTTTTCATGTCAGTGTTTCTTGAACTTTACCACCGAGTTGCACAGGGCTAGGTCATTTTTCCATCATTAAATGGTGGAATTACATGTGATGGTGTAGTGGTTAGATTAATGAGTGATTCTCCATATGCATGAAGTTGTGCTATGATAAGTTGTAAGCCTGTCTTGAAATGCAGTGCTGTTTTCAAAACCATCACCGCCCAGATTTTAATAACTTTATTTTACTGTAACTGAAATAAATGGGTTGTGAAAACTACAGATATGAAGCTAAAGCATGTTTCTGCAGACTGTTTGTTATTGGTGGAAGATGGGCAGGGTTAGATTCTGAGTCAAAAGTAGTTCAAGATTCTTCTCTTCAGCACCAAGGACAGCGCACGTTGTTTCACTTTAAGTTCCTTATTTCTTTTGCTGATAGAAAGTGACCAAACAAAAATCCAGCATGTTAGTTTTGCTTTCATGAGAACAAACATAACATTCAGTATCCTGTGCTAACTTACATGTAACATCTGGTGAAGTCGTAGCAGTAATACATAAAGTTGGATTTACTGCACTAAACATTTTTAAATGTAAGCGGCTGTGGGCTCATTCCACTTCTTTGGCCATGTGTAACATTACTGACCTCTATAGAAAGTCTCCAAGCTACCTTCAAAAATCTGGTAGTGTTTGTTAGAAACAAGCATGAATCATGAAACTAATCATTTCTTGTTAACATCTGGTATATTTTCCTTAAGTAGAAATATGTGGTTATTAAATATAATCTTTAAACCTCTCTTAGACATGTTTCCATAATTAGATCAACAGATTGCATAAGACCAGATTAAAACCTGAATGTGGTAGTCAATGCCTTAAGAGTTGCCATAAAGAAAACTAAACATTTACTGGATTCCCAGCACTTGCATGCACCAATGTTCTAGCTGTATATAGCAGTTAATTTTAACTTCACTCTTTTAGTCTGTGCAGCAGTTCTGTGTCTTATGGATTTACTGGCGGGCCTGGTGGCTACAGTAACACTTCTTACACAAGGTACTTTGGTACTGTAGATATTAATCTAGTAATCTGACCCACTGCAACATTTCATTGGCTGATTTGCAGCGTATCTTGAGTGTACATCTATATTAGTATCTTTTGTTATTATTCAAACTAATAATTATGAAATATTCCTACATTCAATGCTACATTCAGATTTGATTCATCAGAGCAAGTTATAATATGACGTGAATTACTAAGCTCTGTAGGGTAGATTTAATACATAGACACTTCCAGTAAAAGGCTGTGATTGTTCCTAAAACTATTTGGTAGCTGAAAATAACACTTTCAGTTATAGGTTTATTTTTGCTGCCCACTTCTGTTGGGTCATTATGAAGGGTATTTACCACTTAGAAATTTTTACTTTTATTCTACTTTTTTAAGTATAAGAGCAGGATCCCTCTTAGTCTGTATCCAGTGAGGGAAGCCTACAGTACCCTTACCTATCTACTTTTAGTTCTCCAGGTTATGTAAATGGTCTTCATAAAAATAAAAATAAAAACACTACTTGAAGTATATTTTTAATTCTTTCATTCAGTGGTGGTTCTACATTGAATTACTCCCCGGGCGAGACCCCCCTCTGACAGTGATGTTTTACTGTAACAACATAAGTGTAAGACAAACTTCTTTCTCAATTGCACAAATCCTTCAACAGTACATTTGAAAACCATGAATGAAATCTGCGTTATTTGGAAGAAAGTCAAGGTGTCACTGACTTAGTTTAGCCTACTAAGTGGATGCCCCGTCCGCTCCATTTGGGAGAGGTGAACTCTCCTCCTGCGCCCGCGCCCCCTCCCCTCCTCCTCCACCTCTCACGCCGCTTCTGTGCACGGCACCTTCTCATTAAGCAGTGGGGCCACATATGATAGATAATAGAAAACCGCTTAGCGGCGCAGATTATTTTCTTTCCAAGTGCTGACCAGTTCGGCAATGCCA